ATTAGTCGAGAAGTTTTTGATAATAAAAATCAATTTATTAGTCCATAATCGATTAATTGAATTTGTTAAAATTAAATAAATAAGCAAATTGAATTGATGATATCGAACTTCTTTTTGAATATCGTTAGTTTCTTTAGTTCACTTTATTAGTCGAGAAATTTTTGATAGTAAACATCAATTTATTAGTCCATAATCGATTGACTGCATTTGTTAAAATTTAATAAATAAGCAAATTGAATGAGGATATCGAACTTTAAAACAATTGAAATAAGATTAAAGCTGAAACTGAACTTACTGATGACATTTTTTGAAACGAACCAATGACGCCTTTGTCAACATTTTAATTAATATTTTTTCCAACAAGCCTTCTGCTATCCTAATAAATGGGTTATGGTAATTTAACAAACAAAAAACATGCTAACAACGCCTAGACGGTCCAGCTTCTTCAGTGGCAAGCAATGTCACAAATAAATCTTATTAAAAACCGTGACAAAGGACTGATGGTGGCATATCAGCAGCATAAGTAGTGCGGCACATGTTAATCAATCGCTGGCACAGTCGAGTTCTTGTGTTATTATTACATTTAAACACTAATTTTTAACACGAAACAAATGCAGTTTAATAAATGCAGCTGTTCCCAGCTTAATCCATACTCCAACTAAAACACTGGCAACCCCAAGCGACAGAGGTCCTGGCAAAGGTTAAAAATAGTCGCATGCAAGGTGCTCGTTCACAGCATACTCGCTTTCAAAAAATCATTTAAATTATGTGACAGAGTTTTCATGTTTTTGCTTAATTTTATAGTAATTTTTATGTGCTGCGGAACAAGCAGGATAACAGACTATATAAAAAAGAAGACAAGGACTTAAAAAATATTAAACATAGAACAGGAACTCAATTGCCCGTATAACGTAAATGAGGAGAACTATTGAAAAGACTATTGATTATTGTGTGATTGAAAATTGGATCTTTTTCATTGTCGGCCTCGAAATGCATATATCCTGATATTAACAAGATATTTTGCTACTGATTAAAAAAATTTGTTGCTTTTTGTCTTCTAACAGTACACACAAAGGGTACGTGTGTAATGTGAGCTAAAAAACCAATAATGTCTAATGCAACATAATTTCGTTTACAGAACGGACAAAAGACAAATCCGGAAATGTCCTGCGTGCGATTTATTGTATCATTCTCTGTTATTTGTAAAGAATGCTGAGTCCTTTTTTATTATATGTACTCTTAATTTCATAAAATATATTAGCACAAGTTGTATTATACGAGTATGTACACTACACATGTATATAATGTAACGGTCTCTAGTTCAAATACTACTCCTCTTAAATTGATCTCTTTCCTTCATTTTATTTGTGTTAGCAGTTATCGTCTTCTTCCGCTTTGGAATATTTTTGCGTAAAATAGTTTCATTTTTCTGATTTTTGCTCATTACTCCGATGTTCGATGGTCAATAGTCAATGGTCTCATTTGACAATTTAACCAAACAAAATCCGGATTTTGTGTTTGTTTTGAAATAATCTTTTCAAAAACACAAAAAAATAAAAAGAAATCGAAACAATAGTCACAATTCTCAAATTCGAATACTTTAAATAGCATTTGAAAACGCGCCAATATCAGTAGACATTTGCTACTGCTGTAGTCAAGTTGAAGAAAATAAATAGTTAAATGATCGAGTTTAGTACGAAATGATCGCTTTGAGCAAAATGAACATTTAAGATCAGTTACTCCAGACTGATCGGATTTGCAATTGGGTAGAGCAGCAGAGAAAAGCATTAAACAATTCACACTCAAGCTGGATTGGCTGGTATAGTTCCTTATTGCCACATCTACCATCATTAGTTCGATGTCCGTTTTTCACCGCTCCGTAGAGCGGTATGTGACATGTTTAAGTAATGATGATGTTGACCTCTAAGACGACCTCAAAAGTGTGCGCTTTGCCATTTTTTCCTCATTTCAGTTAGTTTCGTTTGACCTTTTGTTATCAACTTCTCTCACACAATAGCACAATAAATACGATAAAGAATTTTCCTTAGACTAGATAATAAATGGAAAGAAACGTCGAGATCCTTTAAGTCATAAATTAAACTGATCGTGCCAAACTTTGTCTTTGTGTTGTTTTAATAGTTTTTGGCGAGAATAGCAGTTACGTTTATTCTGTTCTTTCATATAAATATGTACCATAAATGATACCTTAATTGTGGATGTAAAATTAATGGCAGCAGCTGAGTCCACTGTTAGTCAAGCTGCTACTTTTTGATTGTGGGTGCATTTTTTCCGCAACTTTTTTTGGGGTTGGATTCCTTGAATCACATCGCATTCAATTTTTTTATTTGATCAGTTTGTGTTCTTGCCAGCTTACTTGATTTTTATTTATTAGAAGGCACCATTTTTTATGGTTCATTTTATGGTGTGTAAATCTCAGATTTACGGAGTGTGATCAATTTTAAAACAATTTTTCTTATTTAGAGAAGATTTTGTCATTTTAGAAAAACGCAATGATTGTCAGGCAATTTCAGTTTAGCAATATATAGCTTATATATATTACTTTTGAAATGATTTTTCATGCTTTAGTATATCTGAACACACAGCATATCTGTGTCTTGCACAGAATTCGCATGAACTTTATCGAGACTGTTGGGTAGTAAGGGATTGATTATGAATAGTATCATTAAGGAAAATAAGAAATTAAAGTTAAAGTAGCCTAATCTATTTTCGGTACTAAATTTTTCTTTAAGGTTCAGGCTAAGTTTATTCATACATTCAATAAAAAAATTAACGTATGTAACTATTTGAAACTAACTAAGTGAGAAAGAACGAGTAACGAGTATAGCTCAATTTTCTAGATAAGAACAACATTTTTTATCAAATGCATTTTAAATATTTTTAACCGATTTATAGTCGGCAAATTTGACTTAAATAAAACTAGGAAAATAAAGTTACAATAAACCAGGAAAGAAGTCGGTATAGGATTTGGTTTAGCAACTCTACCATGCAATAAAAAAAAACGGTTTAAATAGACTAGGGCAAAATTTGGATATTTATCTGCATGATATGCTTGTTAAGACCGCAATTGGTTGTACTACAATAGTGTAGTAAGCAGTCAAATAGCAGTAGTGGCAAATTTGGGAGCGTAATAATGCACACTTAAGTCAACACTAAGTTTTGCGTTTACGATTTAGTAGTAGTTTTACCATTTTGTTGTATTACGGATGGGTGTCCGAACCAAGTCGTTAGGGAAAACGTCACATCAAAAGCCTTTCTAAGATAAAAACATTTCCAATGGGTACACTCGAGGAATACTTGTGGTCTCACTGGAAGTAAATCGATTATTTACTGAAACCATATTATTTAGAAGTTATATCAATGATAAGCAATATCTGTTTAGAGATTACAACAACTCAACAAGTTACAATGTTACTAGTATATTTTATTTGTATTATTATAATAAGCAAATCATGTCCAGAAATGTTTCGAAATATATCCAAGAGCACCTTTTTCTGTAGATCTTCCCACCATTCTGGATGCAAATCTTAAAAGGATGATTGGAAATTGTAATAACTCTAACATCTGAAAAGCAAAGGATTAACGATACTGGAGAGTAAATGGCTTTGAAGTTGGTTTATACAACTACACGTCATTCTCGTAGGTTATCGTTTAGCAGTCAAAGCGAAGTATTAGCTGCTAAATCAAACGTTTTTTAGGCAGAAAAACTGCAGAGTATTGTGCAGAATTAAATCATCTGACTGGGCTAAAATTTCATCTGAATGAAATTTTAAAAATTTTCATAACATTTAAGCTTTCAACTATCCAAACTATTATCCTTTAAACCTTTCTATATTCGTCATTAGCCGAGAAGATAAGGCGCTCACTTTGTGCTATAATATTCCTCAACAAAAATGTAACTCTTCATTCTTGGCTCCTTAGATCATCCTTACACAGGAGGAAGAGTCTAGAAGTTCTGTGAGATATCAGTTAGGTGTTACATTGATTTCTTCTATTATAACAAGTGCTATATAATTGCTTTTAAACTGTGAAACAGTATCAATAGCAATAAAAATGATTAATACTTCAAGTACTCGCATTGCTATTGAAATGTAGAACTGTATTAATAACAATAACTGCTAATTGCTATTAATATTCATATTATTGCTATTAATCTGAAACGATCTCTTTGAGTGAAATTGTGAGCGGGAATTGATAAACTCACATTAATAAAACAAAATATATATTTTACAAAGTGTAATATTACTTTATTATCAAATACCAGACATTTTTGCTTACTGAAGATTCAAAATCTATAAGAAACATTGAAAGCACTTAGATAAAATTATTCCCTATTAAGGTACATTTTTATTATAGAATAGGACTCATTCATGTCTCCACTCTGTATAAGTTTAACTCGTTACTATATTTCAAATATGTAATATAATTAAATCATTACAAAAGTAATGTCAATATATAGAAATTGACGTAATTACATAATACCACGCATAATTTTATTATACCTTCAAACATTTACTACTGACCTTTATTTTCATGGATTATTATGTATTATTTATATATTTTGCTATGATTAGTCAGTATAGTACTACCGATCTTGGATATACATATTATACAATTTTATGATTTGAATACCTTGTGCATTCGAGCTCAGTCGTGAGAATATCTCTAGGCACACAGACTAGCCAGTATTTTAAATACGTTTTAACAGTAAAAAGTACATAATTGTTTATTTTATATAAAATTCTCTATAAATTCTACTAAATGAGTGTAAAATTAACAATTAACTTTGCATTGTTAAAACCATGTACCTATTTCATAAATTATACTAAAAAAACAACACATATACAAAATAGTATTAATACCATAAACAAATCAAAAATTATATTTACAAAAAAATATTAGAATTATTTAAGTTAATAAGATAAATAATTTAACTTAAAAAAGTTTTATAAATAAAAATAAACTAAAGCAGAAACAATTGCTATTATATGACAGTGGAGTTTAAAACAATGCAAGCACTTCAAAATATATATTATATTAACTTTAATAATTTCATTAATTGTTCTTTGTCATCAAATTGATTTATAGTTTCATTTATCAAAGAACTAAAGCGTACAGATGTTGCAACCTTCACAGAAGCATTCTCATAATAAATCAATTTTTTAAATAAAATACAATGTTGACACATCGCAAATTTCTGTAAATAATTCAACTTGAAAAATACAAATACAGGCTTTTGTATTTACTAAGTTTAATAGAATTCCTTAAACAGAAACAAAATAATTTATGTTTTGGCACAAAACATTTTTCCCATTAAAATAAAACTTCTTGAGAATCGTTTCAAAATCTGGACATTCAAAGTTCATCACGCATTATTCCATTGTCAAAAACTTTCGGTATTAAAGACTTTAATCGTTCAGATATTTCTAATTTATGTTCATCTTGAGTCCTTAGATAACTCGTATACAATGTGGTAAGGGTGTGAAATAACCTCGAGTTACGTGGCCATTGCGGATTACACAATGTATAGGTATTTTCCATCACTTCTACAAAATCTTCCATAATATCAGATTGCTCCAACAGTTCTAATATATTACTCGGTATTAATGTTTCTATGGTCTCACAAAATGAATTGGCGCTAAGCCAACCAAATAGCTTTGATTCAGTATAATTTTCTGTAGATAACTCTGTTAGTAAGCGTCGTTCAACGACGAGATCACTTATTATAGTTACAACTTTAGCTTTAATTTTAAGCTCACACTCCTTTTTCAACACATCTATTAAAGCTTGACTGCCAGAAGTGGAGAGAATACGTTCTTGTGCAATTGGAAATCGTCGTATAAAAGTGCCAAATGCAAATACACCTGCAGATAGTTCGTCAGCATCATTGCTAGTCATTAATATACGTGATAAATGCTCGCCAACATTATTTTCAAACGCAGCAATCTTAGTCTTTGGATTGTTTTGTGTCAAAGTTCCTAAAACACGTAAAGCCTGCACACGTAGTGTCGTATCAGTTTCATTTACAATGATCGGAAGCAAAACCTTCTCTAAACCCCCTATTTGAACGAATAGCACACCATTGTCAATTTGGTCAACCATATGATACAAATTGTTAAGTGCATCCATTTTCCATTTTATTTTATGTTCTGGTTCCATTACATATGAATCCTGAGTAGTTACGTTCACAACATTCTGCACAATTTTCGTAATTATTTCAGCATCAGTTTTAAAGTGTTTACGCATTTCATCATAGGTTTCTTTAATCATTTTATAATCTTTTTTTATTTTTTGAAAAGCTTGCGGCGAGTGTTCCACAGCCAAAGCATCTCTTGGTGCTCTCTTTAATGCGTCAGAAAGTAAATGTTTGGTTTTTGATTTTGTGGGTGATTTGGCGTCGGATGGTGAAGAGGTAGAAATAGCTTCTTCTGGTAAAGCAGAGAGTGCATGGTTTTCACTTTTATTGGATTCCTCACTGTCATTATTTTCAAGTAGCTTTGCTTCTTTTTTCAATGTTGTTAAATTTATACGCACATGGAGACCGGGTGGTATTTTTTGACCTATAAAATTTAAATAATGTTATGCTAATCACTTAATTCACAATGAAATCACTTTTTATATATAATATACCTTCTTTTATTTCTTGCCATTCTTTCGTTGCAACAAACGTATTATTATCTGATTTATTTGCACCCAATGATCCCAACACTGCGAATATTAATACTATTTTAAGAAAGAGAGACTTCATGTTGATTGTATGTTTAATTGTTTACGACTAATAATTTCACAAGACATTTGTTATTTAAATAATTAAATTTGTATGATGTACATATACGTGTCGTTTGCAAATAAGAATCAGTTGTTTTCTTGACAATCGGCATTTGTCCAAATGTAAACAAAAACAAATGTCGGTTTCGTACGAATTCGAAGTTCGAAAAATTTGTACAGTACGTTCGAAAATAATGTACGGTAAATTATTTTAAAGACTCCCGAGACCAAAGCGAAGCAAAATTCTGCATTAGTAATATACGTGTGAACATCTTGAAACAAATGTTTATTATATATCATATTTTTTTTATAGTTTTTATTTTTTATATAGTAAATGAAATTAGATTTTATACATTATTTTGAAAGAATGGTGGAAAATATACAAAATTAGGTATGAATAATATTATGAATAATTATATATGAATAATTTTCAAAGAGTAAAATAAACATCAAATTTTGAGGAAAAGAAATATGGTAAAAAATGTAAGAATTCACAAATTTTTTAATAAATTTTTATAATAGCTCTTGTAATAATTAAATCGAAGATGCCATTTTATATAAAAGAATTAATTTTATTTTGAAGAAACGCAGCTCACGCGTTATTCTGCGTCTACACTGGTTAGACTTTGGCATAATTTCTATATACACGCTCAATTTTTTTACAAACAAATTTTTGTTTGAAAGTGAAATTCAAAAATACATTTGCATTTTTTTTGCATTTGAACTTAAATCTTGCAAAGATCTAGCTAGTGTAGGTAAGATTTTTAATATGATTATAATATATATTAGCTTTACATATCAAGTGGAAGTGGACTAATACACTTTAATACCATTTTTCCAGAGCTTACTTAGTAAGTTACTTAAATAAGTTTAAGATTTTATCGTCTCCATTAACATAAGTTTCCATTGAAAAAGTTTTTATGTGTTGACAGTTCTAAGAGAGCTTCTGTTGGTTTAAATAAACTTCACTTAATAATATATTCCACAATAAATTAAATATATAATTGATATTTTAATTCTTTTCTATATATATATATATGTATATATATCTTATATATCCATTACATATTCAATTAATAAAAATAAAGATTTTACTAAACATTTACTTCTCAATGCATTTATTTATAGCTAAACTCTTGCTTGTTTAAATTTTAAATATAAAACATATGAAAAATATTTTAAAATTTATTTTCAAGTGTTGCATATATAATTTTCGTTACTTTTATTTGTATGGTTAACAAAATTTGCTTAATAAGTTACATTTATTAAGTTAACAGCGGAAACATACTATGGACTTGCATTTGACAGAATCTAACAAATTAATTGTTTATGATTTGCTATAAGTAATGTGTGGCTTTATGTAACTTTTTCTAATCAAAAACAACACTTTTTATATAATAATTGCATTCTTATATGTTTATTAAAAACTTGTAGCTATGCACATTCTAAAACAGCTAATAATTAAAACTATAATACAAGAATTGTTACTTCAATCATAATACTACTCTTAGGAAAAATGCGTCCGTCATTGGGTCATTCGCTCTCACGCTTATTTGATAGACTCGATTTTATTATATATGGTGCAACTGGTTTTCATGGCAAAAATACTGTTCTTATGGCTGCGAGTATGATATGTTCTGGGAAATGGGGTTTTGGTGGACGTGATAAGGTGCTTTCACAGAAAATTTTAAATAAACATTAAAAATTAAGATAAACTTTTACACTTATATTAGGAAAAACTAAATAATCTATTACTCGAAATCAATGGTAAAAACGAGGGCAGTTATAAGAGGTGCAGAGTATTCATTGCAGATACATCGAATACAACTTCTCTCAAAAAGATGACATCAAAATGCCAGGTAACACATACACCCTTTTTCATTACAGGATTTCCATCCTCTTAAGAATTTGTTGTATATTACAGGTGCTTATAAATTGCTGCGGATCATATAACCGCACTGCAGAAGATATAATAAAATCATGCCTTTCAACTCGTACTCATTACGTAGACATATGTAATGATGTCCATTTTTTGGAATTATTACAATTGAAATATCACGAAGAAGCAAAGAGACGAAACGTATACATAATATTTGCCTGTGGTTTTAAAGGTTTACCAATGGACGTTGGCTTTAACTTTTTAAGAGATAACTTTGATGGTATTCAAAAATTGTGCTGGCATCGCTAATATCACATTTTATTTTCATTTTTATAACTATTTTTATAGGTACTGTGAATTCTGTAGAAGCTCACACTCGTTATGACACCACTGCTCCAATCATATGCCAACCAATTATATCTGCAAGTTTATGGGAGAGTTTTTTGAAAAACTGTAGTAGAATTTTTCGAAGTTTTAGAGCACATCACATGGCTAAAGTGCGAGAATTTCGAAATCTGGAACCAAAAACCACTTTTAGGTAAACGTATTTTCTTCTGGTTAAAAATTACATTGTAAATGATAATATTTTTTAGATTTGGTATTCATAAGAACCGTGTCATTGGTGGGCACTCTGCGGCTTATCCTTTTTTGGATCAACAAATTGTTGAAAATTCGCAATACTATATGTATAAAAAGGATCATAAGAGACCAATTCAAATAAATAACTATATTGCTTTCCGGCTAGTTCTCTTCCTCACGACCTGGTTGAGCATTTGTTCTAATTGTTTATTTTTTTCTCTCTAGATATTTTATTATGACATTGACATTCATTATTTGGAACGTGACTATAGCTGTGCTCTGTCGTTTCCAATGGATGCGGATTTTTTTGTTGAAATATCCGCGCATTTTTTCTCTTGGTTATGCGTCACATGATGGCCCCAAGGAATTCTATTCTGAGAATTTAATATTTGACATAACATTAAATGCAGTTGGTTGGTCTAGTATAGATGATGCGGCAAACTTAACTAATACCCAGTTTCTCAGTCAGTGGGGTCTTCCAAGGAAACGAATGACTATAAAAATACAAGGTAATAATCCCTTCTATAAAGCAAGCCCTCTTTGTGTTTTAGCAAGTGCTTTAACAATTTTACGTGAACGTGATTTTATGCCTTCATTGTAAGTATTGTATTAATTATTTTCATAAAAGAATATTTTCATTTCTGGCACATATTTATAGAGGTGGCGTGTATTTTCCGGGTGCTGCATTTGCTGAAACTAATATAGTGCCTCTATTGGAAAGAAATGGAACTGGAATCATTTTTGAAGTTTTGAATTGAAAAGCTCAATTTCTTTTCTTGAATATTTAGTTAACATGATTTTATGTATATTAAATATTTCTATATAGTATATTATATAAATACATATTGTTTGAATAAATATCGATAAAATGTTGTTAAAAAATTAAAATAAAACATGGATTGTGTGATGGAACTGTTGCTCCAACTGTGGTTGTAGTCTGTGGTTAATGGTTGTTTATTGATGCTAACGGTTATGGTAGTACTTTGAGTGAGAAAGATGTATAAATATTTTGTTTTTTTTATTTATTAATAGTGGTAGTTTAGTTTATAAAACTAGTACTAACATGTACAGACATAGCTCTGGCTATCGAGGCCTTCATCTTTAAATATAAAATCCTTCACTTAAATGTTTAAAAGCAATTAAAGTTGAATAATAGAATAAGAAAGAGATAAACATAAGCAACTTGGGTGCGGTAAAAAATTTTCAAGATATTCGACGTCACAACGTTGTCTAGATAGCATTGTTATTGTAGCACAATGTTCTGTCAGATTTTTTTAGGAATTCAGCATGTATAATTAATCCGGGTACATGGTAAACCCGTTAAAGTTGTATTTACTTATAGAAATAACTCCATTTTTTTAAGTATATTTTTTATTTATTATGTGATCGATCGTTAGTCACTTTTAATGTTGACCAGCTTCAACTTAACTAAAATCTTTTTCATTTAAATATGTATAACACAGGGCTTTGAAAATTTACTGGCAAACTGATCTTTCATCGTCTGATTAAAAATTTATAGATATTTTACATCAGTTGTTACAGATCCGTTCACTACAATTACCGAATTATTTTTTTTGTTAGGCCTAATACTAACTTCTGTTTCACTTGAAATGGTACTTAATATAAAAAATTTTCTTTGTAGTATTAGGCTTTAGTACGAGTTTTTTTTTTTTTGGTTTTTAGATAATTTTCATACCACAAGTAATCGTCATCTGAACGACCAAAATTATAATTACTTCAGCTATGTGAATAACTTTTTTCTAATACAAAAATTTTTTCTAATACAATTAACTTTCGTCTCGCTCTGGTTGTGCTTTCAACAAATAAAATCCAATACATACTTAATTTTTTACTTAGAATTTAATTTTAATTATGGTTTTACATTTTTCGCTTAATATTATATATACATTTATAAAAAACTAAAATAATAGTGACATATTTTTATACTTCCGCAGTACATGCTATTTTTCTGTGTTCATAGTAAATAATTAGTTTGTGCTTATATCTAAAATATACAAATGCATTTGTTTCTTTGTGTTATTAGATTGCGCTTGCGTGCTTAAGCTGGATTTATTTTGTTTCTATTTAGCAAACTATTTCTATTTAGCGTACTAATTTAAG